ACTTTCTACCAGTCTATACAACAAACCCACAAACCAACAGAAATTCCTGCACTTTAACAGCTGTCATCCCTTTAAATTAAAAAAATCCATTGTATACAGCTCATTTCTAAGAATCAAACGCATATGCTCAGACCATTTAGATTTTCTATACAACATTAATAACTTAACAAAACAATTCCTAAAATGCAAATACCCAATAAAAATAATAAAAGAAGCACTAAATAAAACTATCCTGATAAATCGTAACACACTTCTCACATACAAGAAAAATAAAAACAACAATCGGATTCCCATGGTTTTTAACCACAATCAATATTCCCACACACTTATTCACAATTTAAAAAATGATTACAAGAACCTCCAATTAGACAACAAGATCAAAGACATTTTCGATAAACCACCCATAAATGCAATGAAACAATCACCTAACTTATCAGCTATCCTCACCTCTACCAAATATCTAAACAATAGAAACCAAACAGGAAATTACAAATGTAACAAACCTCGTTGCTTAGTTTGCAAACATTTAATAATAGCTAATACATTTTCCGTACCCAACACTAATATCAGAATACAGCCACCTAACCTCACCTGCGATACTCATAATGTAATCTATTATTTATTCTGCAACTTATGTTCTAATAGTGGATATATTGGTGAGTCTGGAAACAATTTTAGGTTTCGTTTTAATAACCATAAACAAACAATACGTCAAAACAACCCTTATTCCCCCATAGCTAAACACTACAATCAATCAGGACACACATTAGAAAACTGCAAATGTTTATTAATAGATTCAGATTTTACTTCCACATTCACACGCAGAAATAAAGAAACATATTGGATTTTAAAATTAAATACACATAAACTAGGGTTGAATAGGGACTTAGGTGTTTTAAATCTTTATAAATATTTCAATAGTTAAGCAATTTTTTTTTCTTATAGATATAGTAAAAAATTTTTTTTTTAAATATTTATGACAGTTAGATTTAAAGTTAGGAATATCCGAACAGTGACGTTCCATATCACGTGACGTCCGCGTCTCGCGAAGGACGCTACTTGCTAACAAACAGTAATTTTAATTTATTTGTAACAAACAGTTTTTTCTGATGAAAAATTGAGGACAATTTGAAATATCATATATATATATAAATAAATAAATACTTTCATAAAATAAAACATTATAATTTTCAATTTGAAACTTTTTCTATATATATATATATATATATATATATATATATATATATATATATAAAGTAATTCATACGACTAACACAAACGTATATATATATATATATATATATATATATATATATATATATATATATATATATATATATATATATATATATGAAAAGTGTATATAAATATAAATGAATATATATATGTATAATTATTTATATATTATATACGCGGTACTTATTAGAAAGCGCTCAATATCAGAGATAGAGCTAACATATTTGGTTGGATAGATGTGAGTTTGTGACCCTGGGTTTCGTAAGACAGTTTGTCTGACGATCGCAAACTCACATCTATCCAACCAAATATATATATATATATATATATATATATATATTAATTCATCGAGTCTAGTCGCTACCTCGTCGGTGAAATATATTGTTCATAAGCTTTTTTAACTTTGTCTTCTCATCTTAGCGTTTGTTACAAATACTATTATGTGTGTTTGCCTGTGTGTGTTGATATATTTTCTATTTATATGTTATTTTTATAGATATAATTTATTTGTAAATGATCTGCTGTTTTTTTTAATTAAACAGTATTAATTCAGGCCGGTAAATGTAATTAATACTGTTTAATTAAAAAAAAAAACAGACCATTTAATTAAATAAATTATATCTATAAAAGTAACGTATAGACAGAAAATATATTAAAATAATTGTCGGACTTACTCCATTTTATAATATGTTGTCATTGTTTACATTAAGTTATATTTCACGAGCAGGAATGATCGATCGAGAAAAATCGGACATTTATAAACAGTTATTCGGACGCTCTTTTGTGGCTGGATGGTTAACGGCATGTCAGATCAAATGGCGGTTCTCATTATTGTTACAGGTTCAATTCCTTTCACAGAGTGCATATTTTCTATGAAATTTCTCGAACATTCAGGCCCGTAAATGTAATTATTACTAGCCAATTAAAAAAGCAGAGCATTTACTTAAATTATATCTATAAAAAATAACGTATAAAAAGAAAATATATTAAAATAATTGTCGGACTTAATCTATTTCCTCATATGTTGTCATTGTTTACGTTAAGTTATGTTTCACGAGCAGAAGTGATCGATTGAGAAAAATCGTCGAAGGTGTGTGTTTATCAACAGTAATTCGAACTTTGATAACCGTTGTAAACGTGCTTCAATCTCGAAGGTACGTTTAAAGAAATCCCCGTTTTTTGGGGGGGTTTTTTCAAATAGAAAACATGTCTTCAAATATGTCTGAAGCAATTATCCTATTAGAAGGATCTGCCTCGTAGCTAAAATATTAGTGTATTTCTCCCAAACAACCGGCCATGTGTGTTCGAATCCAAGCATAAACGAATATTTTAAATGTTAATCATCTCCTCTTTTTTAATTCTTATTTATTAGTGTGAAGCTAAGCTTTGTAAATATCTCGATGGTTTCGCATGAGTTCGATTGACTTCTTCGTTTACATGTCAGAACGTTTCTAGGTTTCTCATAGGTTGCAGCATAGCTGCAGTATAAGCTACGGGAAAATGGCGCTGTGAGTGTTAACGAAACATATTGGCCTGAGCACATGGGCATGTTTGGAAAAGAGTTGCCGTGCTGAAGATGAGAAATCACATTGATTTACATTGTGCCTTCCAGTTGAAACAGGTCTGATGAATAAAAGTGGGTCAAGCTTCATTGCCGTCCATTAGTGGCAATAGTATCGAAAGCAATGAATTAGCTCATTATATGAAATGCAGTAGTAAAACTCGCGACGCCGAGGTCGGAGGGGTTGTAGAAGTGTGCAGAATATGTCGGAAACACAAAGAGGCTTTTAAGGAGTATCGACAGTTCTGCTTAATAAGGCGTTAGAGGAGAGATGTTAAGAACGTATTCTGAATAAGTGTTTCTTCGTGGCCTGGGATTAGCTTGAAAACCATCGACACTTACAAACCCAATAATATGCAGCGTTGATCGCTAAGGCAAAAGATTATAAAAAGACGACAAAAGCTGAAAGGATGATTAAGCGATTTAACGAACAAATATTGAGGAGACCAATAGAAAATGGCCTCTTTTCTTTTTCTCTCTTTTCATTCGTCCACCCTTTACTACTGAATGTGTGTTTGGGAACTGAAATAGATAAATGCTCGTGCTTTTCTTCTCAGCAGTAAATAAACTTGTGATCTTGCAAAATCTGAAATAAAAAAAAATGGTGTAATATTGATTTATTATTTTGTATACGGAACTTTCTTATATTCTATGATTGGCTGTTCTTTTTAATTTATTCTTTTGTCAGTCTCTATCTTTTCTATTTTTGGTCTTCCTTTCTTTTATTTTTTCTTCGTTTTTTTCTTTTATTTGCTCCTTATATCGATCTTTCTTTCTTTCTTTCTTATTGTACCGTTCATTCATTCTTTCTTTCTTTCGTTTACATCACCTTTTCTTTCTTTCTTTCTTTCTTTCTTTCTTTCTTTCTTTCTTTCTTTCTTTCTTTCTTTTATATTGCACCGAATATTCCTTTTCTTTCTTTTCTTTTGCACCACTATCTTTTTTTGTCTTTTTTCTAGATTTTTCTTTCATTTGCTCCTTATATCGATCTTTCTTTCTTTCTTTCTTTCTTTCTTTCTTTCTTTCTTTCTTTCTTTCTTATTGTACCGTTCATTCATTCTTTCTTTCTTTCGTTTACATCACCTTTTCTTTCTTTCTTTCTTTCTTTCTTTCTTTCTTTCTTTCTTTCTTTCTTTTATATTGTACCGAATATTCCTTTTCTTTCTTTTCTTTTGCACCACAATCTTTTTTTTTTTTTGTCTTTTTTCTTGATTTCTTTCTTTCGTTTGCTAGTTACATCGATCGATCGATCTTTCTTTCCTTCTTTTTCTTTCTTTCTTTCTTTCTTTCTTTCTTTTTTCTTTCTTATTTTACCGTTCATTCTATTTTTCTTATTGCCCAAACCTTTTTTTCTTTCTTTCTTTCTTTTATATAGCACTGATAGTTCTTTCTTTTTCTCTTTCTTTATTTTCTATTGCGCCACTTTCTTTCTTTTTGTCTTTTTTCTTTCTGTTTTATTTTTTCATATTTAATCAGTGGCTCAGCTTTTCATTATCACTCTTTAACCTTTTCAACGGGTTCACAAATTTTTTTTCCTTCATTTCATTCTTCCTCCTCTTTTATTCCTTCTACCTTTTCCACCATTCCCATTCATATGGCTTTTCATTATTATTCTTCCTTCTCCTCCTCCTCTTTCTTCCCTTTCTTTTCTTTCTATCTCCTCCTCCTCCTCCTCCTCTTTCTTCCCTATTTCATCTCCTCCTCCTCCTCCTCCTCTTTCTTCCCTATTTCATCTCCTCCTCTTCCTCCTTCTCTTTCTTCCCTTTATATCTCTTCCCCCTCCTCTTTCTTCCCGTTCTGTCTCCTCCTCCTCCTCCTCCTTGTTCCTCGTTCCTTGAACATCTTTTTTTTTTATTCCCTTCGTTCATCTCCAAACTCGAAAAAGATAAAGAAAATCAAACCTGGTCACAAAATATTTATGTCGGCTTCCAACATGTTCTCCGTCATCTACAACCCCACCCCGCCACCACCACCACCCCCCGATATCAGTCAATCGCGTTTCCCTTTTCCTTTCTTTTTGTTGTTGTTGTTTTTAAAGAGGACACTTGAAGAGGAGGATGTCGCCGATAAGATGGCACTCACTTCCTGTGCCCATGTTTAAAACATTGCTGGCTGAGGAAAATTCAGCAATAAAATGATTAGAAGAGATGGGAAATGATTACCGCAGACATGAGTGCATAGAATTCGTCCTCAAGAAATCAGCTCAATGAGTTTCAGAAAGAGAACGACTGGGAAGACAGAGAGAGTGTGTGAGAGAGAGAGAGAGAGAAAGAGAGAGATATAAAAAGAAAGAGAGGGCGAGAAAGAGAGAGAGACTGGGAAGAGAGAGAGAGTGTGTGTGTGTGTGGGAGAGATATAAAGAGACAGAGATAAAAAGAGAGAGAGGGCGAGAAAGAGAGAGAGACTGGGAAGAGAGAGAGAGAGGGAGAGAGTGTGTGTGTGTGAGAGAGAGAGAGAGAGATAAAAAGACAGAGATAAAAAGAGAGAAACGGCGAGAGAGAGAGTGTGTGTGTGTGTGAGAGAGAGATAAAAAGACAGAGATAAAAAGAGAGAGAGGGCGAGAAAGAGAGAGAGACTGGGAAGAGAGAGAGAGAGTGTGTGCGTGTGTGAGAGAGAGAGAGATAAAGAGACAGAGATAAAAAGAGAGAGAGGGCGAGAAAGAGAGAGAGACTGGGAAGAGAGAGAGAGAGAGTGTGTGCGTGTGTGTGAGAGAGAGATAAAGAGACAGAGATAAAAAGAGAGAGAGGGCGAGAAAGAGAGAGAGACTGGGAAGAGAGAGAGAGAGAAAGAGTGTGTGTGTGTGTGTGAGAGAGAGAGATAAAGAGACAGAGATAAAAAGAGAGAGACGGCGAGAAAGAGAGAGTGTGTGTGAGAGAGAGATAAAAAGACAGAGATAAAAAGAGAGAGAGGGCGAGAGAGAGAGAGAGACTGGGAAGAGAGAGAGAGTGTGTGTGTGTGTGTGAGAGAGAGAGAGATAAAGAGACAGAGATAAAAAGAGAGAGAGGGCGAGAAAGAGAGAGCGTGTGTGTGTGTCTGAGCGAGAGATAAAGAGACAGAGATAAAAAGAGAGAGAGGGCGAGAAAGAGAGAGAGAGTATGTGTGTGAGCAAGAGATAAAGAGACAGAGATAAAAGAGAGAGAGAGCGAGAAAGAGAGAGTGACTGGGAAGAAAAAGAGAATGTGTGTGTGAGAGAGAAAGAGAGATATAAAAAGAGAGAGAATGGGCGGGAAAGAGATGGAGACTGGGAAGAGAGAGAGTGTGTGTATGAGAGAGAGAAAGAGAGAGATAACAAGAGAGAGAGAGAGGGGGCGAGAAAGAGTAAGCAAACAATCACGTATAAAAGAAGGGAGGGTGATATCGAAAATGGCAAAGGGTATGAGTATTGCTTAATTCCTTTGCCTTCAAAGGAAAGCAACATCTAAGGTTTTAAAATGCATTTTTTAAAAATGAAAAAAAATCTTTCTTGAAGCTTTTATTTTAATCTTAATTCAAAACTAAGAGATTAAATTTAATATTTCCAATAAGCAAAATACTTTGCTGTATTTCAAACTGCATTTAACTTGATTCAAATGAGTTTTTCAATAATCGTAAAAACGCTAAAATCGTCCATATTGATAAACCTGTCAACACAACGTAACCCTCTTTATTAAAAAAATCTTTCAAAAATAAAATATACTTTCATGAAAATTTATTTGATGAATATCAGCTGATTTAGAATTTAATTATTCTGATTTGAAACAAATATTACTTTTAGTTTAAAATATCGCAGAAATGCATGTTTAACACGAAGGTGGGTGTTTTTCCACTATCTCCCTAGACTTATGTTTTGGAATTTTTACTAAGGGGGACATAACTGTAACAATTACTTAAATATAACATGAAGGCCTTTTTTATATTTTTTCAACTACTAAGTAATCTTAAAAAATTATGATATTTTCAGCAATCTAATATTTTATTGAATTGTAGGTAATTTGGCTTTATAGTCTAACATACGAAGATGCTTGTTGAGGAAATGTTAAAAAAAACTACTAATAAATTTAAACTTTACTGGCGTTGCCGCTTTTATTTTCTGATCATGACTCATTTGGACATCCGTATTTCCAAAAATCGACACGGTTATAGAGACATAAAATTAATTCAAAATTCTTTTTAAAATATTGGGGACGGTGAATTGTAGTGAGAATTTCCATTGATGATTAGTAAATACAGTCTTAATTTAATAGCAATAGCATTTCACCGCTACAAATTTATACGAAATTTTAAAAGTTTATAAATTATTTTAATTAGAATTTTTAAAAAAATTAAAACAATACTTTTAAAATTTCATTATTCATAAAAAAAAAAAAAACTCTTAAGACACAATATGCACAAAATCAATTAAAATATTTTCTAATGTTTTACTTTCGATTATTTTATTTTACGAATCAGAACAGGTTTTTGGTAAATGGGCGTTCTGTTTGAATAAAAAAAATTCATGATTTAAATTTTCCAGGGACTTATCCCTAATATAAAGATTAAGGGCGATAAAAAAAGAAATTCTCAATTAAATAAATCGGGAGTTAACAAATAAGTCCTGAAAGTTTCATTAAAATCTGACAATTATTTGATTTTTGCAAGAATTTCCAAATCAGCGTGTTTCACACTACAAAAAGATATTAAAATTCCCCATAATAATATATGGTTACCTTCTGACACAAGAAAAATATTTTTTTTTTAGCTAAAATTCCGAAGGTTCTAAAAAAAACAAAAAAATAATTTAATTATCAAAAAAATCTTTGGTCTTTCCTCTAAATATGAACAGAAATATTTTCAGGATAAAACTGTGTTTTTATCAAACTTGGGGTATTTTTTTCATCATGTATGCTCAGTTTTTTAGCAAATCTTTGGCGGTACCGAGTTTAGTTGTACCGAACAAAACTGTAGAGAGGGTAGCAAGCCTGGATGAAGAGCTGGAGTAACTTTAGCTAGAGAGGAGAAAAGAAAAGAAAGCAAAAGAGATAAAACATAAAATAAGAGAGTAGAAACAATGAAGACGAGAAACAGAAGTGAATTTAAAAAGAAAATGGTAAAATAAAAGCTACTGAATTTAAGACAATTTCGAAGAAAGGAAGAACGGAGAAAGACAAAAAGAGAAAATAAGCTTTTGTCTTGTAAATAGAAGCGCATCTTCAGAAGCCAAACCGACAGGAATTCTCAAATATTTTCTTTCTTTTATAAACACTTTCGTTGGAAACATTTCTGCGTCGTTTGACTTTTATAATTTACAGCGGTGGAAATCCATGAAACTGCTGAAGTATAAACTCATAAAATATGACAAAAAATAATATCATTACTAATCGCAGACATCAGGAAATGCCTTAATCTTCTCCTTTTAGCGCAATGAAATGTTACACTCCGTAAAATGGTTCTCAACAAAAAGAAACTTTTTAAGTGGCGCTCAACGAAAGAGAAGACTCAATCCTTGTTACTCATTTTTGAATGACCTGATACGAAATGCCTTAACTTAGACTACCGATAAATAGTAAAGTGTTAGGGATGAATTGGCTAATTGTAAGCGATGAAGTCACGAAGGAAAGGAATGCTCCCGATAGTCTAACGGCAAGGGTAGTAATGGATTAGGTTGCTAATGATAGCAAAAGTATGGATTGTTGTAGAGTGTATTCCATCGTGTCTGGCCTCAAGACTCACTGGTTGGAAAACAAGGCGACACTTTGTCGTCAGGGGAGATGAGAGATGCCATAAAAAAGCGCCAATCTAAAAAAAAAAAGGAAGGATTCGGTAAAACGATCAAAACGTTTTGCAAAACGAAACGCTCGTTGGTTTGACTTAAACGTTTTTAAGGAAATCAATCTTTTTCGAAACGGGATCAATTTTCATCTAGATAAGCGAGCGACTGCGTATAGGAAGAACAACATACATGCTTGTATGCCCTTGCATGTGTGTAGATGTGTGTGGGATTTTTTTTTTATCTGTAAGTCGATGAGTGTAGAGGTGGGGTCATTTTGTAGTAGATTACCCTGCGTGCTTGTTACATCATCATCACCTGCTTCTCTATTTATTTATTTAGCTCTTTCCCTTGACGCATTCATACACTATATCCTATTTTATTATGCAACGCAATGTTTTTTATAATAATAATGGTATTAAACAACCGCTGATGGCAAGATTTACAAAAATATTCATATAGATACCTCCACAGATTCACTAAAAAAAAGCATACGTTGATGAAAAAATGGCCCCAAACTTAATAAAAACAAAATTTTATCATCAAAATCTTTGTTATTATTAAGAAGAAAGACCAAAGAAGTTTTTGATTATTAAATTTTATTGTTTCGCCTTTTGAAAATGTTCGGAATTTTGTTGACAAATTTTATTTTCCTTGCCACGGCGCAGAACGAAGACTTAGGAGAGGAAATGTTAGCGTCATTTTTGAGTTGATAGACACATGGATTTGGAAATTCTTACAAAAATCGTATCTTACTGAAACTTTCAGGACTTATTCACAAGAAATGTTTCTTTTTTAGAAAATTTTGGTAAAAACATTTTTTTATTCCTCCCAATACACACATAATTATTTAATTTCATGACATTTCAAGAAATTTCTTTTTTGTACCATTTAGTGTCTATATTTGTTATACGCAGGAACCTCTTAAAGAATTTGAATCAGTAATTTTTTTTTTGTAAAATAATTACCTAAAATTTGCCCTGAATCATAGAATAAAAATACAATAAAACTAAGTGATTATTTAATTAGAAAAGCTTCTAAATGTTTTTAGGAATACGATATATTATGAACACTATGTTTTAAGAAAAAAATTTCGATCAATAACTAATTTTTACAAAAATTGTTTTCATTTTCAAAAATTTTAATTAGAATCATACTTATTATAAAACCTAGGTTGTGTGTGTGTGTGTGTGTGTGTGTGTGTGTGTGTGTGTGTGTGTATATATTGGATCGGATTTCCTACATTTTTAAACCTATTTCAACAAAACGTCACAGGACTACGTAAAATTACCTTTGCGGTGGTTCTGACAGCGCCAAAATTGAAAAACACAATTGTTTTTGCACGAAATCAATTTGAAAACACGATTAAGAGGCATCGCTGTCGCGAGAATGAAAGGTGGACAACTCATATCGAGTTATACTTACTATAAAACTCAGGTTTTTTGTTTGTTTGTTTTGTTTGTGTGTGTGTGTGTGTGTGTGTGTGTGTGTGTGTGTGTGTGTGTGTTCGTTTATATATGGGATCGGATTTCCTATATTTTTCAACCGTTTTCAACAAAACTTCACTTTTCTTTAAGCAGGTTGTGTTTCTTATTGTCTTGCACACTTTTTTCTTTATTTTTACATTCAGAATGCTTTAAAAATTCCATTCACAAGACAATTTTTTATAATAAAATTCTATTCAATCGATAGACTCATAACGATTGAAAACAATGTTTTTGTTTGAGTTTGACCAATTCGTAAAAAAACAAACAAACAAAAAAAACTAGGACATGCATGTCCGTCAACCTTAAACAATAATCTTTGTCAATTTTATTTTTCAGTCTTTATGATGGTCGATACTTGATCTACTGACCGCACTCTACTGCTAGTAATTTATAAAGTTTTAAAATTTTGTATTAATTTGTAACGGTTAGACGATATGGCTAAATAAAACTATATTTACTAACTATAAATGGAAAATCTTACTACAATTCAGCGACCCCTAATATTTCATAAAGAATTTTGATTTTGTGTGTGTGTGTGTGTGTGTGTGTGTGTGTGTGTGTGTGTGTGTGACGATTTTTGTAAATACTGATGTCTATACACGGTATTATCAATAAATAAAAGTGATAACTATAATAAATATAAAAGCAAAGTAGCGAAAATTCAATAAAACATTAGGGTAGGGAGAATATTTTCCTAAATTTTTAAGATTACTGGGTAGTAAAAGAATTATATAAAAAAAAGATGCTCATGTTATATTCCTCAAGTAATTTTTACAGATTGTTCCACCGTAGAAAAAAATTAGATAAGCTTCCATCAGCGAAACTGTCAAGAACCTGAAATAAACATTAATCGCCGTGTTAAAAGTGCATTTCTGTGGTATTTTAAAGTAAGTAATATTCGTTTCAAATCAGATTAATTAAAATTCAAATCAGTTAATATTGCTCACATAATGTTACAGAAAAGTATATTTTATTTTTGAAAGATTTTTCAATAAATAGAATTACATTGTGATGACAAACGGTTAATAATGGCGCTAAAATCAACGATTTTTTGCGATTTCGAAACAAAAACTCCTTCCGATGAATTCAAATTAGTTTTCAAATACAGAAAAAAGTATTCTGCTTATCGGAAACATTAAATTTACCCTATTAACTTGAAACTGAATTAAAACATTCAAGAAATATTTTTCATTTTTAAAATTCATTTTAAAACTTAAGTATTGCGTTTCTATGGAAGTTCATAACATAATGTGTGAGTTTTCAACATATAATATCAAGCTTTATTTAAATACTGATACAAATTGAATGAATTAATTTATTTTTTACGCGTTAATATAGGCTCCTTTATATTCTATAAAATTCATTAATCTTTCAACCATTGATTTTTTAAATTTTTCTAATAAGTATATTTTAACATTATTTACAACAGTTTTTTTTCTCAGTAGTCATTTTTGCATGAATATTTTCTATTCACATCAACATTTTATTTTAGAATAAAACTTTGAACGTATTTATAATTATACCGCCTCCAAGACTAGCTGAAAACATTAATCCATTTTCCAAATGCTGTTTTCTAACTCATATTGGTTGACAATAACATGAACGTGCCAACCTCTAGGCCAACCTCTAGGCCAACCTCTAGGTCAACCTCCAGGCCACTCTCTAGGTCAACCTCCAGGCCACCCTCTAGGCCAACCTCTAGACCAACCTCTAGAGCAACCTCCAGGCCACACTCTAGGTCAACCTCCAAGCTACCCTCCAGGCCACCCTCTAGACCAACCTCCAGGTTCATCTAATGTAGCTCTACATTCATAACTAAAATGCCTGTTGAGGAATTAGTTTAGATTCTCCCCACAAATTATACATTTCACTTTGTAGAATGTGTTTTTAAGCATTCAACCCCAAGCAAGACGGGAAGTCACTAGCACGCAACGGGTTACAGAGAGTTGAATCGAGAGCAAAGAGGAGTGATAGAGAAAAGGATGAAGAGAAGGATAGGGGATAGATCAGGGCATCTGGAGACGTCGATTGACATTACATTTGAATAGTTGGAAATTATAGTTATCAGGGAAACAGGAAAAGAGGAGGGAGTTCCTCAGGCGAGAAGTGCGAGACATGAAGCTATTGGAGTAGAAGAGACGGCTACATTTAACAGTTTCCACAGTGAAAGGGTGAGAGCGAGATGCCAGCCTAGTTGAACGCTTAAATTCATGAAGTCTGGGAACCAGCGAAAGCAGCTCATCGGGGCAGTTACCGTGAAAGTATTTGTAAAAAAAGACCGAGGCAGACGACAGCACGTCTGTGAGAGAGCGGCTGCAGACGAGATGCCAGATCAGGGCCAATTACATTGCATATCCGTTTCTGGGTTTTATTAAGGACCATGAGACAAACAGAAGGGGATCCAGACCATATATGGCAGTAATACTCCATGCAAGGGCGAATGGTTGATTTGTAGGTTTGAAGGATTGACTCCAGCGAGAAAAATTACCTGGCGCGACACAGGGAGCCGACTTTCTTTGCGGTGGACGAAGCTATTGACTCTATGTATTCGTTCCATCTCAGGTCAGCAGTCAATGTGAGACTGAGCAGTCGCAAAGAGGTGCTCTCGTGGAGTTGAGCGTCAGACATTCTAATGGGAGGCAGGGATGGTTCTCTCTGGTAAGTAATAGAGAGCAGCTTTGTTTTTTTTTGAGGCATTAAAGTTAACCAGCCAATTCCCGTCCCTGTCCATAAACGATTGGAGGTCCTTTTCGAGACAAACGGCCAGGTTAGTTTTGTCGGCGACACTAGATGTGTTTTTGAGGCAGGAGTAAATAGAAGTGTCGTCTGCATAGATGCCTACTTGGGAACCTCTGACATCAGGAACATCGTTAATGAAGATAAGGAACAGAGTAGGGCCTAGGATAGAGCCTTGGGGAACACCTGTGTTCGTGGGTAAGGAGCTAGAGGAGAAT